TACCGGAGCTCAGAATGGTGCGGGGGGCTGAGGGCTGGGCTGGCCTGGCGTGTGTGCCTGCCTGCACTGCCTCGGTGCTCTGGGTGCCCGTGGGATGTGGTTGCAGGGCACGAAGGCGGGAGGTGCGTCTTTAAGATCATCGTAAGCAGCCAAAACAAATGCATTTCACTCTTTTCTTCCCTTCTGATTTGCTTGTGCCTCTCCAGTCTTTGGTTTCTAGCCCTCTGGAGAGCCCCCAGGCATTGCCAGTAAATCTGGGCTCCGCTGTGTGCCCGGCATCTCCCTGGAACCAGCTGGCTCCAGGCGGATTCACAGTCTTTTTTGACAACTGACAGATGTTTGAACAAGGGGTGGTAGGCTGTGGTTACCTCACTCAGTGCCTACAGGTGGATGGAGGCACTTTATTTATATCTTCCTGATCAACTTTAGGAAGGTTTTTTACCTCGTTTTGGGCGAGAAGCTTTGACTGAATAGGCTGCATTTCAATAAACTTGGACGGGGTAAAATTTTAGTGAGGTCTGTCCACCCTGTCTCTTTGTTCTAGATTTAATTCCAAAATTAACAATAAGTTTCATTCTGTATTTTTTAACTAGGTGGAGGCAGATTTGTGGTTTACACCACTGTGTTTGCCTGTGTTGCTGGGCCTTGGGTGCCAGTGTGATGTGCTGTGAGCAATGCAGTCAATGTGAAGAATTACCACCATCTGCTTATAATCAAACGGGGAAAATATTTTTATTTTCAGGCTCTGGAGATACAGCCAGAATTTTTTGTTCACATGGCAGCAGCAAACTCTTCTCCGCCTGGCTCTTTGGATCTAAACCAGCCCGGATTTGCAAAGGAGATCCTGGGAACTAAACTGGAGGTCAAATACCTGTGCTCTGATTGCAAGAATATCCTGAGGAGGCCCTTTCAAGCTCAGTGCGGACATCGCTACTGTTCCTATTGTCTGAAGAAAATTATCAGGTGACTTTTTTGCCTTCAGTCTGAAGACAAAATGCTTGAAAAGGAGAGAAAAATCTCATTTTCAGGGCCTTCTCAGCGAGGGAGCTGTGTTTAATTGTTGAGGCTTAGTATCAGGCCTTCTTTAAGGGAATGTGTAATCTCTGGCTTGCTTTTATTGGTCCAGGGGTTGCTTCCAAGCTCCCTTTTCCAGAATCTCCCAGATTGTTTTTGCTGTTCAAGGTGGCGATCCAGGTGGTCTCCTTCAGTCTTCCTCACATCTACTGAAGGATGAAGGGCCTTGCTCCTAAGAGCCATCGTATGGTGGTCGTGTCAAAATGCAAGACATTGAAGCATATGCTGGCTTCAGGAAAAATTCTGTA